AGAAGCCAGTGGAGCTGGTGGTGAGAGGAGGGCTCTGAGTTTGACTGCTTTTAAGCTAGCAGGCTGCCTCTTCTCTCACAAAGCCTTGCTGAGGATTTTAGGCTGGACAAGGACGTTTTCTGGGGAGGAGACTTCCAGGGCCCCAGGTTGGGGGTGTCTTGCTGCTCAGCTTTCTCTCAGACTTGCCCAAGCTTCCCTGCCTTGGGCAGGCCCTCTATGCCTGTTCTTTTCAGTGATTCTGAGGACCCTGTTAGTCTGTCTGGCCAGGAAACCCCATTCATCCTCTCCAGCTGGGCGGGCAGGCCCAGCCTGAGTTTGCCTGTCTGCCTTGCCAGCATCTGCCCCTCCAGATCCTGATCCGGTTCATGGTGGACATTGCCTGTGGCATGGAGTACCTGAGCTCTCGGAACTTCATCCACAGAGACCTGGCTGCTCGGAATTGCATGTATGAATCCCCGAGGACTCGGGGGTGGGAGGCAGCAGCTAACGTCAGGAGGAGCAAACTGATGGTCAGCTCCTGCCTGGGACAGTGTCTGCTATGCATGGGGACGGCTTGGGAGCAAAGATACTAAGGCTTTATTTAAAAGGCTGTCAGCACGGGGGAAGGCCAACCCTGTCCTCCTCCCATACTTCTCACAGGCTGGCAGAGGACATGACGGTGTGTGTGGCCGACTTTGGACTCTCGCGGAAGATCTATAGTGGGGACTACTATCGCCAGGGCTGTGCCTCTAAACTACCCGTCAAGTGGCTGGCCCTGGAGAGCCTGGCTGACAACCTGTATACTGTGCACAGTGACGTGGTGAGCAGGCTGAAAGAATGAGCCTTGGGCATGACACAAGTGATGAGGACTAGTGTGGGGTGGACCCTTAGGATCACTGAGGGTCTCCGTAGTTCTGCCCTCTGGGCTTTGGCTGCTCAGTTATGGGGTCCCTGAGCTTAGGATGTGCTTACCTCAAAACCATGGCTCTGCTGGGCCCAGGAAGTCCAGTGACATCCTCCCCCAACCTCAATTCTGTCCCAGTGGGCCTTCGGAGTGACCATGTGGGAGATCATGACTCGTGGGCAGACGCCATATGCTGGCATCGAAAATGCTGAGATTTACAACTACCTCATCAGCGGGAACCGCCTGAAACAGCCTCCGGAGTGTATGGAGGACGTGTAAGTACCCCAGGAAGGGGATTCCAGAAGGAAATGGGGATCGGGGCTGGGCTGATGGGAAGGACTGACCTGCACTCATGCATCCTGTTCATTTACCACCGCCCTGTTCCTTCTCGAGCGCTCCCCGTCCCACATGTTCTGCACCACTGTTTCACTTTCTTACCTTTCTTTTCCTTAAAGTGAGAAATCACCCCTCCACTCCACTATGGGGGCGGCCATGCTGCAGTCCCTTTTCTTCCATTCTCTCTCAGGACTTTGGGCACACACACACAAGCATCCCGCATAATGACAAGTCACTAGGTTCGGGACTTGAACTGTGGTCATCCATATGGGAATCCAGTTGCCATAACCACTATGCCACCTGTTGTCTCCCCCTTTGCTTTTAAAAAATTTTGGCTATAGGACGCAAGTGCTCATAAGAGTTTGGGCAGAGAATGTGAGAAATCACACTCCCGGGGGATGGTCCTGCTGCAATCCCTTCTTCATTTTCCTCTTGGGATTTTGGGCATGCATGCACACATACCTGGCGTGTTTTTCTGTCTTTCTTTCTTTCTTTCTTTCTTTCTTTCTTTCTTTCTTTCTTTCTTTCTTTCTTTTTTTATACATCACAACGAGGGAGGCTTTGTTCCAGGGATGCAAGGGTGGTTCAACATACACAAAACCATAAACATAATATATCATATCAACAGAAAGAAAGATTAAAACTATATATTCATATCAATTGATGCAGAGAAAGCATTTGATAAAATACAACATCCCTTATGATTAAGACTCTCAGCAAAATTGGCATAGATGGGTCATTTCTCAACACAATAAAATCTATCTATGAAAAACCCATAGCTAACATTATTCTGAATGGGAAAAAGCAGTAAGCTTTTCCACTAAAAACTTGTACCAGAAAAGGATACCCAGTTTCTCCACTCCTCTTCCATATAGTACTGGAAGTCCTTGCCAATGCAATCGGAAAAGAGAATAAAATAAAGGGCATGCAAATAGGAAAAAAAAGAGGTGAAATTATCTCTTTTTGTAGATGACATGATTGTATACATAGAAAATCTAATGGCATTCATGAAAAAAATTCCTGGAAGTAATAAATAAATACAGTAAATTTGCAGGATACAAAATCAACCTACAGAAGTCTGTAGCATTTCTATATACAAACAGCAAGCAGACCGAGATAGAACTGAAGAAATTAATTTCAGGTAGCATAGCCACAAAACGTATAAGATACCTAGGAATAAATCTAACCAAAGAAGCCAAAGATCTTCACAAGGAAAACTATGAAAAGCTAAAAAAAGTAAATTAAAAATGACACAAAAAAGTGAAAGGACATCCCATGTTCTTGGATTGGAAGAATTAATATAATAAAAATGGTAATTCTGCCCAAATTAATCTACATATTTAATACAATCCCAATCAAAGTGTCAGAGACATTCTTTTTTCTTCTTTTTTTTGGAGAGGTTTTTGCTATAGGGCACGTGCGCTCACCAGAAAGACAGAGACAGAGACAGGAAGCGAAAAATCACCCCCTGGGAGGATGGCCACGCCGCAATCCCTTCTCCTCCATTCTCCTCTCAGGATCTTGGGCACGTACGCACACGCGCCTGGCGGGAGTTTAAGCCACTGGGTCCAGGACTTGAACCACAGTCAACTATGTGGGAGTCCAGCGACATAGCCATTATGCTAACTGCTGGCCCTGAGACATTCTTTACAGATCTAGAAAAGACAATCATAGAATTTGTCTGGAATCATAAAACACCCTGTATTACCAAAGCCATCCTGTGCAAGAAAAGTGCAGTAGGAGACATCTCACTCTGAACCCAAAATATATTACAAAGCTGTAACAATCAAAACATTACGGTTTTGGCACTAAAACAGACATGTGGGCCAATGGAACAGAATAAAGACTCCAGAAACAAATCCCCAAAACATACAGCTGAGGGCTCTCCCGCAGGTCCCGGGGCCAGTCAGGGTAGAAAGCCTCCAGGATCTTCCACTTCTCTCTGGGTTCAGCCTCAGGGCTGTGAAACACTCCCCCCAGCCAGGGCTTCCTGGCATGTTTTTCGAGCCACCAGGTCTGGGACTCGAACTGCACCATGAGCCATGGGAGATGCAGCTGCTTTAACCACCACACCCCATGCTGGCCCTCCATGCTTTTTCTGTCACTCTTATTTTTTGGAGAGAACCAGGAACCCTAAAAGAAGGGTTTTTATTTTTTTTTTCCATGAGCAAGAAAAATGAAGACAGAGACAGGTATCCCAAACAAGGTCTTGATGCTGCGATCCACCCCCAGACTTAGCCAGCCCTGGGTCATGGGCACACACATGCCTGGTGCCCCGGGAGATCTCCAGATGCAACCCTGAACCTTCCCAAGGGGTTGGCTTTATAAAACATTACATTTTATCTCTGTGCCACTGATTGCCCCCCACCCCACCTTCTTGAGACCCCAGGTAGTCTAAGCAGCCCTCCTAGGCTGAGTTCTCCTTTCCCCTCAGGTAGGGCTGCACAGGGCATGAAAGAAGCTGGGCTGTTCCTCTGTCAGTCTCCTTCCTGGGCAGAGAAGTGGAGGGGGCAGGAGGCCCTTTTTTTGGTCTTGACCCTCTCTTAGAGTGCTGGGGAGCTAAGATGAGCTGAGATCTTGGGATAGAGGGACACTGCCTTCTTTCCTTTCTGCAAGCCTGAAACCACACTCCGTGTTATCAAGTATCGTTAACTGGGCGTTTTAGACATTCTTTCAGGGAAAGACGATGCTTGTCACCATTTGGTAGATGAGGAAATGGGATTAAATAGGTAAAGTATTGAATAACACGGCCAAGATCACACAGCTATTAAGTAAATGAGCGCTGGGATTTAAACCTGTATCTCTGTGATTTCAGAGTATACGTGCTCTTAACCCTGACGCCCATAGTGACCTGCCTGTCCTAGTCTTACTCCCCTCTCATTCAAGCCAGGGTCTCCCTGGGCCACCAAAGGACCTTTCCCTAGCATGCGGTGGGAGGGCATCTGTAGTGATTAGGG